CGTAATCAATGTCGCCACAAAGGTAAAGTATCTGGGGTTTAAGCTGCACTCCAAGCTTCTGTGGAAGGCCCATGTTGATGCGGTCACCTTTAAGGCTACGAGAGCGATGATGGTGTGCAAACGTCTAGCGGATAAATCCTGGGGGTACACTCTAAGGATCCTCAGATGGATGTACACCATGATAGTGAGACCGATAGTGACCTATGGTGCGGTAACTTGGAGTTCCAGGACTACTCTGGGAACGGTGAGGCAGACCCCCTCAAAGATTCAATTTCTAAACGATATTAACCGAGAGGTTATAACAAGGCGACCTGGTGTACTTCTATTATGGAGTCACTTGCAGGCGAGCACACTACAGTGGTTCACTGACGGCTCTTAAACACCTAAGGGGATTAGATCAGGCGTGCACGGCCCCAGGCTGAAGCTTTCGGTGCCCATGGGGACCTTGGATAGCATCTTTCAGGCGGAGGTCTATGCCATTAGAATGTGTGTTGAGATTAATATTTCGTAGAAATTATAGGAATGAGAGAATACTTACACTAAGCGACAGTCAGGCGGCACTTATGGCTCTCTCTTCATTCGAGATCAAGTCCTCCTTGATTTTGGAGGGTGTAGAGAGGCTTAAAGCTCAGGCGGAGGTTTTGATATCCAACTGATGTGGGTACCAGGGCACATGGGGGTCGTAGGAAATGATCATCTGGCCAGAATGGCCGCTTCTTCGACTCCGATAGAACCTGAAAGGAAAATTGCAAACTGAGGGAACTGCACTGGCGTAACCCCATGGGTCAAGGTCAAGCAAAAAGCATATTAGGAGGATACAATCTGATAAGATATAGGTTACTCATGGATCTCTCAAAGGAGAAACCAAGAATATTTACAGATGTAAGAACTAAGTATCTGGCTCAGCGACCTGTGTCGCTTTTGCGACGCGGCCAAAGAGACTCCTTTACATCTTTTTATAGAGTGTGAGGCCGTTGAACCAGAGAACGTTTATGAATGAGAAGGCGCATTTTCAGTGTGAACTAATTGCCGCCAGAAATTTCGAGTAGCGGTCGAGCAAATATACCACTCGTCGACGAAATGCATCACTGGACACGGAAAAATTTTTGGTATGGTGCTAAACAAATTTGGTCATATCTCCAACTTTTGAATTAAAAAGCTTTTTTCCGAACTAAAACGTAATTTTATTGCTTTTCAAGAATTGAGAAAGAAATCTACTGTAAAACTGTGGATTGTACTACATATTTTGTTTGAGTAAAGAAGAACTTACTATTAATTTAGGGGATCCACAAGACGTTCTAAGCGATGTCTTAAAGTCTTAAAAATTTTAAATTTTAAATACCATTTAATACATTTTAAAGAGATTTGTAACTGAACCAATTTCTTTTTAACTCATAGGATATATATTCTGGCCTAACTCCGTTTGTCATTTCTATGTCGCCGCTTTTATTGTCGTTTCGTTCCTAAATTTGAATTATCTGCAATCGTTTAAGTTTAATTCTTGACAATTAGGTCGAAAAATAACGAATATTATTTATACGTCGTTACTATCTGTCGGTATATGTATATCGGATAAATGTCGATAACGCCAACGGTGATGCCAAATTCTCGTCTTAATTTCGTTTCCAAACGACCACGCCTACGGTAATGGGCAAACTTATTGGCTCTTATTATACCCTGCAAATCTCCTAAAACGCTTTTGACCATTACTTTACATTGACAATTTTTAAGACTTTAAGACACAAGTTGTGAATCCCCTAAATATGTTTAAACTTTCATTCAAAATTCGCGCCGGTGATATTTGTCCGGATCAAAGTAAGATGTAACCACGACACGATCACTGAATTTACGTCCAGTCAGCGCCTGTTGTGCCTTCTGACAATCCATAACTGAATTGAATTCAACGAATACTTTACCACAACCGGGCACATCAACGCCCTCAATGGGTCGTGGTATCTCAACACTACGGACAACGCCATACTTATTGCATTCCTCCTTGATATCCTCCAAAATATCTTCATATTCCTCTTCGTCGCGTAGCTCATCTGGTGTTACCATATTAAGCAAGCAGAGAACTTCGGTGGGTGGCCCAGAATTGACTACAAGACTTGAAAGGCCAGGCACCTAAACCAAAGCTCGTTAGTTTGGCGTTCTATTCATTAATTTGAAATTGCATATTACCTGTATAGTTACTGGTGCCGCAGCAGCGGAATTAGTTTGCGCATTTTTAGCGCCAACACTTGCGCGTTGTACTATCAATTTCTTGTCACCCAATTGCATACCGTTTAAGCCAGCAATCGCCTGCGGAAAATTTTGAAGAGTGATTTAATATTTTGTAGAATATACTCTGATTGATTGTCTTACTTGATCAGTGATGCTCAAGTCAACATATTCGCAAAAGGCATACCCTTTGCTCAAGCCTGTTGCGGCATCCTTCACCAAATTGAAGGCACGCAATTGCCCGAAGGAAAGCAGTAACTCTTTAACCTGTTGGAATATTTAAACGTTAATTTTATTATATATGGTTGAGCCGAAATTTATCCAAGATGTGGGAGAATGCACAGCTTATAAAATGTTATTCAAATAGATGGCTTTTTTCATTATGTAATTTATATAACTTATTTATTGTTAGTATAAAATGGACCGCAATTAAAAGAAGGGTACATATGTACTATGTAGGTAAATATGTAAGTATGTATGTTATTTATATATATAATTTTATAAGGTGCAGTCTCCCGTGTGCTTAAAATATCTACCGTGGTTTGATATANTGATTTAATATTTTGTAGAATATACTCTGATTGATTGTCTTACTTGATCAGTGATGCTCAAGTCAACATATTCGCAAAAGGCATACCCTTTGCTCAAGCCTGTTGCGGCA